GATGTGCCCATTCTCCTTGTTGGTGGGTGTGTGTCTCTGTCTGTCTGTCTGTCTGTCTCTCTCTCTCTCTCTCATGAAAATAAACTGCAGATTAGAGAATCCTGCCTAACCTCTTGAAACAAACTGGATGAATTTAAGTGATAACTTGTTTGTTGTGTTAGTTAATCTTTCACAAAGACTTGCAGATATTTTGGGAGTAAACTTTTAAAGACTTTGTTCTCCAAGAAACTCCCTATTTTGTTTAGGAAAGCAACTTTGTATAGAGTTTGCTGACCTGATATTATGTATTATATAAATGCTATGTAAAGCTCATTTAAAAATATTATGCTCCTTGAAGATTTTAGAAATTTGAACAGGTGATACTTTACCGTGTCAGACGAAAGACGATACTTAAAACTTAAGACATTTTTAAATTAAGCAAGTGCAACCTATTGAGTAATCCTGTCCCAGCTGGTCTAACTGTAATTGCTAAGGAATTCATCAGTAGTGTTCCAAAAATACATTTTTTTCAGTAGTTCATTGTGATGTTTTCTCTTTTTCTTGAAGTTCTTTAATAATAACAACAACCTTGGTCTTTATAGATTTTTTTCTGAAAGACTGAGTAGATAGTGATAAGAGCCAGGGTTATGAAGCTAGATTGCCTGGGTTCAAATTCCAGCTCTACTGTGCTACCCTTGGGCTGCTTAACCCTTTTGCTCTCTCAATTTTCTCTTTAACAGTGAAGTCAGTATCTTTATTGTTAGTGTTAAATGAATAGATTTAAGTAAAGCATTTAGAATAGTGCCTGGCTTATAGTTAACCATGATTATTATCATCATCATTGTATTCATCATGTAGACTACTATAAGCAGTTGCTAATAATTCTTTCCCAACACTCTTTTGAAAGCATATCTTTATATAGCTGCTTACTTGATTATTATTTGTCGATTATTAATGAAGTTTCAGTGAATAAATGTATTTACATACACAATTTCATTTTGTGACTAGTTTACATGTGGGATTCTCAATGAAATGAGTCATTCTGAGTAGGTCGTTTTCTCAACCTTTCTGTAATATTATTAATAGTTTACATTATAGGAGTTCCGAATGAGTCACCGCAAGATGTGCCTTTGTGATATGCAGATTATTTTGAGCTAAAGGTAACTGAGACTCTGCAGGCTCAAGAGAAACTTCTGTTGCCCCCTCTCCACTTAACTACCTTGCCCATAATAGGAGATTATCAGAAATAACCTCTTTTGACCTATCTATGTGTCAGGGCAAGCTACGAATTCCGGAACATCTGCTCTTCTTATCATCCTGCAATAACATTCTGAAGCCAAGGTACCTTACCTCATCCTAAACTCAGAATGTCATATATACCTCATTTTCCTTTTCTTCCTCTGAATCCCGCTCACAGGGTCTCTGACTCACTAATGTATGTGGGGTTCCCATATGTATGAAATTAAATTTGATTTTTTCCTGTCAGTCTGTCTCTTGTCATTTTGATTATTTGACCAGCCAAAAAGAACTGCGTTATGGCTTATCTGTGTAAGCCGTAACACAGAATTTGAGAATTGAAATCGGGGAATTTAATGTTTAGTGATGTCTACTAGCACTTACTTTCTTGGGAAGTAAGTTTTGGGAAGATCATTTTGCAATGACATCTATTGCTATATCTGTTATTCATCTATCAGTGAACAAATACCTTTTTAAGTGTCCTAGACCTTTTACCAGTTTCTGGGGTAAACAGTGGCAAACAAAGACAAACATATTTTAGTTGGGAGCCTGACAGAGAAAAAAATAAATAGAAAAATGAAAGAATAAACATGCGTAATAAGTGTTATAAAGGAAATAAACAAGGGTCTGAGGGAGAGTTAATATGGACATGTGCCCGTTTGAGTCTCTAGCACGGTACACCTGTAATATAGTGATATGAGATGAGATAGGAAACATATTTATGGTCCAGGTTATGTAGAACTTTGCAGGCCATGGAAATGAGTTTG